TTTTATTATAGAATAATATATATATATATATATATATAGAGAGAGAGAGAGAGAGAAGAACGAAACTTAAGTTTGAAAAAAGTAATAAAATGAATGGACCTATAGCATGGGCAAAATTTGAAGATTAGGTTAGATAATCTAACCTAAGAATGTTTCGCTCGTAAGGTGAACACATGCATGTTGTTAAAGATATTTTGGACACATTGGAGAACTGCTCAGTAGCAAATCATATATTAATATCAAGAACGTAATAATCCTGACGTTTAACTAATGATGAAATAAGTAATTGATAATAATTATCAAAATAAATTATTAAAGTAAATGGTTTGATATTAAGATTTATCTTTTGAATCATTTATCCAATCAATTCAGGACAAAATATAACAAATAAAAAAGAAAATAAAAATTGTATTGGAGACCGAATATCATTAGTCAAAATGTCTAAGCGTCCAGAACTTATGGCACCACCTGAGGTGGTAAGTTATAATTATTCGCTTATTCTTTAATAAAAGATTAATCAGAAAGAATTAAAAATATTGGGTATTAATAAATCAATAAAAAAGCTAACCTTTATCTTTTTCTGCGACAGTATTATAATGAGACAGAAGCTAAGAAATATACACAAAGGTAACTCTTTATTTAATTTTTATATGTATACTTATATATTTTTGTATCTTTGTAATAAAATATATGTTTTTGTAGCTCTCGTATGATGGAAATCCAAGTACAGATGTCTGAACGTGCAATAGAACTTCTTATGCTACCTGAGGATCAGAGTTGTTTGCTTTTAGATATCGGTTGTGGATCAGGTCTCAGTGGCAGCGTATTGGAAGATCAGGGACATATATGGATAGGCATTGATATCTCTTCAGCTATGCTTGGTAAATATTCTAATTATGATATATAGTTATATCTTAAGGATATCTACATATTTTTCTTTATAGGTAACGTTAACTAAATATATATTGTTTCAGAGGTAGCTGCTGAAAAAGAATCAGATGGTGACTTGATCTTAGGAGATATAGGTCATGGATTACCATTTAAACCTGGCTCGTTTGATGGAGCTGTTAGTATTTCTGCGCTTCAATGGTTATGCTATGCAAATAAAGCTTCACACAATCCTACGAAACGTTTATATCGATTCTTTTCAACATTATTTGCATGTCTATCGAGGACTGCAAGAGCGGTATTGCAATTTTATCCAGAAAATAGTGAACAAGTTGAATTAATTACTGCACAAGCTACAAAAGCTGGCTTTTTTGGTGGCGTGGTTGTGGATTTTCCAAATAGCACAAAAGCAAAGAAAATGTTCTTGGTTTTAATGACTGGTGGAGCTGCTTCACTCCCAAAGGCATTAGGTACAGAGAAAGAAGATAGACAAACCATTGCTAATTCAAAAAGGTTCGATTATCTCATTATTCATTACTTTTGTTATTTTATAATATGTAATCATTTTTAATGTTATATTTCTTTACATTTTATTTGCATTGTATTTTTACTTTGCAAAAATATTAATTCCTATACATTTTATTATAGGGAATACATAAAAAAAGCTAAGGGTAAACCATTGAAAAAAAGTAGGGATTGGATTATAGAAAAGAAAGAAAGACGGCGAAGACAAGGAAAAGAAGTTAGAAACGATACAAAGTACACCGGACGAAAAAGATCTGGACGATTCTAAGATATATCTTATTAGCATAAAAATTATATTAAATAAGTTTGCATTATAAAAATAAAGTTTATATTATAATAAAAAAATTTATAAAAACTTAAATCATGAATTCTTGTTTGTTTCTATATCATCTGTAATCTAATAATGATTTAAAAATAGTATTTTCATTAATATTTTAACATATTAAAACATTTTCTTTATTAACAAAAAAGGACATATGTTTTGTTCTATAAATACTTTTTCTATTAATAAATATTTGGATTAAAAATAGTTTAATAATTGTGACTGCTAATCTATATTTATCTAAATGTAAAATTGATAAAAATGTTACTACCAGTAGTCAACATATAAAATAAATAAACAGCTAAAATAAATAATTAACAGAATTAAAAAATATAGATCTTTGTATTAAAATTGCAATTCTTGTTAAAATGAACATTATGTAATTTATGGATGCTTCTATCATGTAATATATTTGATACTAATTAGACCTAAAGTTTCCATAATACATGAAGCATATAGAATATAAATGTAAATTCATAAAGTTTCAATCAATTACTAAATAAATCTGACTTTCAATTATTGTTCATCAGCATACGTAATTAAAACTTACATGAATTAATTTAATAATTACAATAGAATATTAATATATCAAACTTAATAAAAATGATGTTATAATCAATTTATATGGCACTCAATGTATTTTTTATATTAAATATTCTTTGTGATTATTGTTGGTATTTATTAATTGACAATATTAAATCAAGAAATCCAAGAATGAGTTCAATATTATATATCATAATATAAATTGCGAAATACTTTTTTGTATTTCATTAGGTAACACTTTTTCTAATTCTTCATGATCCAACCACTGATATTTTACATTATTAGTGACATCTCCATCTATATGTTTTGCCAAGAAATAAAATACTTTAGCACCATAAATTCCTTGTTCACAAAGTTTTTTGGGATATTTGTATTTATAAAATCCAATAGGCGCATTACCATAAAACTTTACTTTTAGTTTTTCACCACATGTATCTTGTAATACTCTTTCTGCAGTCTGCAAAAAAAAATAATTTAATTTTCTTGGTCAAATCATTTTTGATCCTTGTCAAAGTAATCATATAAAATTAACGAGAAAGATTGTAGATATACCTGTCTCATGGTTTCTCCTTCTTGTCGAATACCTTGAGGAGGTATCCAATAGTGCAAATCACCTACTTTTTGTTGTACTAATAAAAGCAAATTTCTATCCAATTTACGTTTTATAGATGACGTTATATTTTGTTTATCAAATTCTAAAATATATATGTAAATAAATCATTGGTTAGGTAAGAAAAATATATCTAAATTATATAATATACACCATGTTTCAAACTTTTCTATTTAGTTGGAAAAATCTAAGACTAGTAAATCTTGTTAATATTTTTGTAAAAATATTTGATATTATTATATGATTCATTTTACAATACAACATATTTCAATTGTTAATCTTTTAATTCTATTTTTTATTGTACTATGGAGAAAAGATTAATGCATACTTGTAATTGTTGGTGCAAATTTAAAATTCTTCAATTCCTCCTCGGCATTATCCTCAAAATCCTGTGCAGTTTGTATCACAATATTGACATCTGTGCTATCTATGTTGCTTGATTTTTTCTGCTTCTCTTCTCTTTCCTTTCTTAATTCATGATCAGACTTTAGACTATTTTCATACTCAATTTTCATTAACATATTATGAAATCTTTGTTCTATCTCTTGCATTGGTTGTGTTATAATTGGATGACGTTCTAAACAGACAGCACTGTATAAATCCCATTTTTTCTTTGCTGCAGGAGTACAGAAGGTCCGAATGTCCTGACATTGAATTGCATTCCAATATACTATAGTAACTTTTTTTAATGTATCTGTACAATAGAAGATAGCATTTATTAACATACAATATTAACATATATAACAAGATGATATTATATTGCTTTTTCTATCGCTAAATATTATTAAATAGTATGTTCAATCAATTGGAGGTTAATAATATATCTGCAATCATTTTTAAGTTTTTAAGTTAATATCTTGTAATAACCAAATAGAAGAGAAAAATAATCACTATTTCTGCCTACTTGGTAAAATTTGATTTAAATTGTATGATCCGGACGATCGAAAGATTTGTTTAAACATCTCCGGACCGGTTACTGCTAACCTAACTTAATAAATAATCGTTATGGATCGATATCTTAACCATCGTGACACTTCGAGAATCGCGATGTCATCGATTCGATAGATATTCAATTGTGGTTGAGTGTATCTTGAAACAAAGTGAAAATTACAAAAATGAAGAAATTTACTAGAGTACTTGCGATTTTGAATGCGTTGAAATAAAGTGAAGAGATTTTAGTATAATTCTTTACTTTTGCAATTTTCATTTCAAAGTACACAATCAATCCCCAGAGATTAAAAGATGTGATAATGTCTTCATGCAAAATTCCAATTCTGAGACCGGTATTCACAGTCCATTTTTATATTTACAATTGTCTGTAGGTAAACTCATGCAATTATTTTATTCATTGAAATGTTATCTTAAGACGATCTTATAATATAATATAAGAACTGACTGATGAATACAGACCTGAGAGGAACCTGAGATCGACTATTTCGGCCTTTTTTTATGAAACTGTCAAACGTCTTTGTTACCGCCAATCCGTCTATTTTTGAATTTGGAATTGTTGTAACCACATCCATTATATAAAATGGCCGATAAAAATACATTCCGATGCGCATTCCGTGCTGCATTCACGAGTCATGGATCAAGAATATGTTTATATATAATATACCACCGCGTAATTTTTTTTATCGTGGAGTACTGATTAACTTTAACAATATACGTACATTTAACAATATATCATATTTATATGAATTTTAACATGTCGTTACGATTACATCCTTTCGTGCCAATGTCTATTAAAATGGGATATGAATTCTGCTGCGTTGATTTTTTGAAGATATTATCACTCGTGTTCCAGGTATCCAGTAAATGGTTCAATGATCTTATAGCGGGACATTCACTGTTTTGCTGCTTGAATATAAGATTAGCATCATTATAATCATTGCAAATGTTTAGTCGTGGAGTTTTTAGTATCAAGTATTCTATACAAGTGTCATCTATAAACTTTGCCGCAGTTTTGTCTGACAAAATACTTGACAACCATGTAGTTATTTTGTTCCAAGAATCAGTTTCTCTCGCGAGACAGATAGCTAGAACATTAGCAAATAATTCTAGATTTTTTTATTTTGTTTATTTTGCGTACGTATTTAGGAATGACTTGCAGGAGATAGATTTGAGACTCAGTATGTAGAATATGAGAGGACCTGTTAAGATTATTCTCGACTATAATAATTTAATGGCGTTTAATTCAGCGATCTGCCAGGTACCAAAATCAATCTCCTCTGCTGAAATTTTTCGTAACGCAAATGTTATGTAAAATAGGGCTAAATATTCGTTAATGTTCGTAATAAATTTACACAACAGATCACTTTTCTGTGCCCATTTGAAAAATTCGAAGAGTTCCTCCACAATTCCTGGGTAATATTCATCATACTCAATGCGTTGCTTTCTATAACACTATTCATGATGGAATGCGTAATAGCATTGATTGTCATTCAAATTATACGTTTTATCTTATATTGTACTGTCTTGTCGTTAAATCTTTAAATCTTTTTTCTAATAAAATGATATTATCATAAATCATCAAAATTATCATCAAATTATTATATTTATTTATAAATGAGGTAAATATGCAGTCCCCCCGCTTCAATTTTCCTGTTTGTAAATTTGTATATTTTGTAAATTTTGTAAATTTGTATATTTTTTTTGGGTAGAATATATTCTGAAAAGAAAAATCGTCGCTCAAGTCCCGTTTTTTTTTAATTAAATTTCAAAGTTTTTTGATATCAATAAATCAGAAAATGATAATTTAATAATAGAATGTGACTGCGCATGCTTATTAAAAATTAAACAAAGATTCTCTGCTTTAGAAAAATTAAAAAAAAATAAAAAAATAAAAAAATAAATAATAAATATAAATATTTTTTTTTTATAAATTTTCTCTGCTTTATTTTTCAGAAATTGCGTTTAAATATGCAAAATTAACGAAATATCATCCGATTATAATCAGTCAAATTGCGATCCCAAAACATTTTACGGATAAATTTTGGTCACATATATTAGCATCACCAACTACGTCTTGAACAGCAAACCAAGGATTATTATTAATTTGTTCAATTAAATACCTCATTTATACTTAATTTATCATTTAATTCATAAATAAGTTTTTAATTAATTAAGAGAATATTTGTTTAATAAGCAGAGAATATTTGTTTAATTTTTAATAAGCATGCGTAGAAGAATGGATTATTAATGAGCAGTCACATTATTATTTTTTTATTTAATGATATCAAAAAACATTAAAATTTAATTCAATTGTTTGTTTTATTTAATGTAACGTGCATCAAAAAATATTTTTTTCTGTTTAATTAAATTTGATTTTATTTATATATTAGCTATAATTTAGTAACTGATAATCGGTAATGTCGTTTTCTTCAAGATAAATTGCCAAAAGTCGCTCATTCGGCAACTATTTCAAAGATTATTGCATTTGATGTTTTTATCTTCCCTTTTTATCGATTGTACATAATTACTATTTTTCTCGCTAAAATAAACAGTATGCAGTGAGATGGCTCTAGAGCATAATAAATGATTTGTATTATAATTATTTGTCAAATTTTTTTCCAAAATATAAAATTTAATTTTATCATAAAATATTTTGAAATTATTATAGAAATGATAACAAATGGTGATGATTTTAAAAAAAAGATATGATTAAAAAAAAGATATGATTATATTTTTATAGCGTATTTTCAAAATTAAAAAAACATTTGTTTAAAACATTTTTCACATCTCTTACTGTTTTTATCATGTAGAATTAAAAACATAAAAATCGATTTTTTCAAGATTCAGATTTTATTTATAACTTGAATGTTTATAGAAACTTTTAATAATAAAGCACATATTTTTATTTATATTACACATATTTAAAGTTTTATCAAATTTAGAAAAGATATTTATTTATATTTTAAAATTTTTTAATAAGTAAAATAAGTTTCTTACACAACAGCGAAAATGAATATATTATTCATTAAAATTATTCAAAAGAGTGCTATATAAGAAATTTTGCATTGTTTTCGCCAAAGTTTAAAAACAAAATTTTATTGATATAAATAATTTTTTTTAAATAGAAGAAGCTTTTAAAATATTACATTGGTAATTTATTGATAATAAATATTTATTTATTATTAATATATAGTTAATAATAAGTTAATAATAAGTATATGAAAGATCTTTAATAGAGGTATTTAAAAAAAGTGTGATATCTATAATCTTAAACATTGCCTTTTTAAAAAGAATAAAAAAGCATCAGGTACATGTACGCTTTAAGAAAATGTTTTAAAATAATATTTTTATAATTAAAATAAAAATCATAGCAATGATATTATTATAAAACTGTATTTTATAGAATAATGCTATTTTAATTTATACAAAAATAATAATATAAAAAATTGTATCAGTTTAGAAAACTTTACTTTATTATTTGCTATTTGCTTTATTATTTACAGAAATTTTATATTTAATCAGAAAATCTGCTGTAAAAATTAATATAAGCATTATTATAAAAAAGACATTTTTTTATACATCTTCTGTTAATAAATAACAAATTTAAAAATATAATAAATTAAGAATAACACAAATATTGTTATTAGATTTTTATATGATGATATATATTCACTATTTTAATTAAATAAATTGTTATATTATAATTATAATTAATGAAAATAGCTTTAATGCTAGGCTTTAATGCAAGTTTCTGTATATCTCTATTTAATCTCTTAAGATTTCTATTTTTGAAATTAGATGTTTATCAAAATTATAAAGGATAATGTAACAAAAATTATTATCACTAATTTGCACAACAGATTTTTCCGATGAATATAAAATGTAGATAATTATATAGATTATTTTTTATTCTTAATTTTTTGATATCATTATTTTTGTACAAAAAAAAGTTTAATTAATAAAAGTTTAATTAAAATTTAATCAATTTATTTAATTATTAATTAATTTTGTTTTGTAAAATAGCTTTTGATATTGCTGCTTTAATTTTGATTTTAATTATAAAAGTGTTATATAATATTTTTCTTGTTTCAATAAATTTAATAATTTTCTTAAAATAGTTGTGTTCATTTATATTTAATTATTTTACTTTTTAAATATGATATAAAAATGTTAAAGCTCGATTTAAAGGTTGTAAATAAATAAAAGTAAATAATTGGCTTAAAGAAAGCGCTCTTATGCGACTTGCGATTTTCTTCCTTATATTTCTTCAGTTTGCCATCAGTACTTTGAATTTCAGTAACGACATATACAAGTATTTCAAAGTTTTAACAAAAAGAATTTATTATATGAGAATTATGTGATTAAATTAATTGAGAGATACAACAACACAATTTTCTGAACCTTACCTTCGGTCATTTTTCTAACGCAACGAAGTGTAACGCGGGGCGACGCGAGCGAGTTCCGAACAGGTGAATGAGTACGGGGGAAGGCACGAATGATGAACGTCAGGGGGTGCAGGAGACCGATAGAGGATACGGGCGTCGGATGGTGTTGGATCTCTTGACGGGTGCATCGATGTCCACTGGCTCCCAAGGGAAATCCACTTCATGATGGGAATCCCATTATTTCCCGAGCGATATAAAAGTAGGTAGTCCAGTCGTCCACGTGCTGTCCAGTTGAGGCTATTCCGACCGGCCGTCCTCTATCCTCCCCCCCCCCCACTGCCACATTGAGGCTCTGTTTTTCTTCCGTTCCTCTCTTCTTTCTCTTTTTTGTTTGTCTGTGCCACCTCTTCTCTCTCTCTCTCTCTCTCTCTCTCTCTCTCTCTCTCTCTCTCTCTCTCTCTTCTCTCACTTTCTCTTTCCCTTTTTATTTCTTTCTCTGTTTCTCTTCTCTTATACCATTACCATTGTCTCCTCTCGTTCGCTCCTAGATCTCACTCTGTTCTCCGTCCATTCGCAATCCATTTGATTCCGAGCTTGTCTCTCGAAGGCGACGCTACTACGAAGGATCATTTTTAGTTTAGACTAATGCCATGTATCGCTATGAGATTCGGTTTTAGATAAAATAAGTGTCAAT